TCTTTGGAATCCAAACCAGCACTATCTAGGACTGTCTGGGGCACTCCCTTGTGGGAATTCCCCTGCCCCTACTTTGGGCGTGATTGTAGGCCTCTGGTTCAGTGGGACAAAACAAAATGTATCTAATAAAACTTTTTTTAAAAACAAGGGAATAGCAAACACAAAATTTGTGATAATTGTTACCTCGGATGAGAGAAACTACAGAAAGGAACTAGAAAAAGAATAGCATTAAATGTAAATTATTATCAGTCTTTAGTTCTTAAAACTGAGTAATGGATTAATGAATGCCTACACTTTTAGGTCCTGCATAGACCAATGACAGCCAGGGGTTATAATTAATACCAATTTCTATATCCGAGTTCCACTGGGGTGAGATGACACAAGGGCTCAGAGAAAGGCTGCCTAGGAATGCAGGAAGGTTTTGCAGAGGAAGGGAAGTTTGAGCTGCATTCCTGCTGCTTGGGCTTCAATTTCACTGCCTGAGATTGAAGTAGAGGCCAAAGGCACATGGACGTAGAGAGTCAAGTTCACTACTGTGAAAGTTGTCAGAATCAAAATGGAGTCATTAGTGTTTAAAAAAAAAACAACTGAGAAATAGAGATGGGGGAGCTATGAAGAAAAACTTTTCAGACATGTATGCCAGATAATAAAAACGATCACAAAAAGCTGCAAAACGCACAAAGCTATCACAACCTTACACAAAAAATAGTTGTGCAAGGACATCTGCCCAACAACTGCCTGTCCAATCTTGAGCTGGCATCACCCTTGTTACTGATCTTTGTAGTCAAGGATAATCATTTCGAAACAATATGTAATCCTCTTCATTTTTCCTTTAAAAATCTTTGTCTGTTTACCTCCCTGAATATGAACATAGCTCATTACGACACGCGTATTTCCATTGCAATGTCCTATTTCTAAATAAACATTTTATTTTAGAGTGTCTCCCTGTTATTTAAGTTGACACTACTACATCGAGTCCTGAGAACTTCAGGACTTTGGCGAAAACGCCTGAGAAACGGAGTCTATAGAGCTAAGAGGACCTATTGTACTTCTGGGAATCGTAGTCCAAAGCCAACGCTTTTCTGCGCAGACTCACAAGTCTCTGTGGACGGAAACCTTGAAGGGTGGTGCGTCTCAGTCCTTCCACCGGAAGTGTCCGATCAAAACCAGCCCTGTAAGAGAGGTGAGTCCGGGTTTAGGGACCCAGGTGTCCGACCCTGTGTCCCCCTCCAAATATCCAATCCCTCTTATGTTGCTTTGGGGATGACGGCAGCCTTGGGGCGACCTGCCCCAGGACCTCAGACGAATACAGGAGAAAGGTGAAATCAGCTAGGGCGTTGGCAGGGCATGCGCCCCGCGTATTTCGTGAGAGTTTGGCAGTCTCCATAGTTACCTCGGCCGCGTGTGACGTCATAGTCGAGGGCTGAGAGGGCGTAGTTGGGGGGGGTCAGTTCTGCTTATTTGAATCTGGGGTCGCTGGTCCGATTCGGCTGGGTGCAACGGAAACTGCTGTGGGACCCACCCCCGATCCCCCTCTTCCCTTGGAAGGAGTGCCCTTCTGCAGGAAAAGTGGGGACAACCCAGGCCTTCTCTGAAATTTTTTCACATAATAAATAGTGAGTATTTCCTGTGTGCTGGGATACAGTGAAATCAGCACTGACCCCCTGCCCTCCTTCTGGAAGAGAGATACCGCAAAGCAGGCAGTTAAAAGAAAGAGTGTGAGAAACACATGATACTATAGGAGCCTTCAATACGCACCGTGAAGCCTCCGCTCTGTTCTGTGGTCTCTATTGGATTTCCCCTGACTCTTCTCCCTCCAGAAAATCTCTCCTGTCCTCCCCTCCCCCAACACGGACACCAAGGACCTACTTGTCCATTAGGAGCCCTGCCTTTCACCTCCACTATTCTCATCACAAGTACTCCTCCTTCTGTGTTATCATTGCGTTTTCCTTACACACCTGCTTAGTCATTTTTGTAACTCTCCCCCAACATAATAATTGTAAGGCACTAGATGCTAATAAATGTTTATTGGCTTGAAGTTAGTACGCCTTTGGTGGATATATCAAATCCTTGAGAACTAGATAATTCCATCTGGGGTTATGGACTCAGTTTTAAATGCATGAGAAGTGATGAAACACTTGGAGATAGGACTGTCAGTTATCTGAGGGGATGACATATGTTGTAGGACCTGCTACATAGCATGATTGTTGAAGTTTAATTTGGATTATGTAGGCCTACTTTACTGCCCATATTTCTATACTAAATAAGGCAATGTTCATTAAGCATTAGGACACTACTTGGTAAGCACTTATTAGCATAGCTGGGAAACATAATGTGAAGTGAAATTAGACCACTACATAAAAAGAATGGCCCTGTAAAATATGAGGGATTAAGGCTCTTTGGTTAATATACCATATAACTAGCCCCTTTTGCCTCCCTTATCATTGCTGAACTTTTTTCCTAATAATCCTCACTCAAACTATATGTTTTCCAAAGTTCCCTCTGAGCCTGTTATATTTATTTCATACTCTTGGAGAATTAATCCTATTATATGTCTTCAACTAACCCTTTCATGAATCTTGTCCAAATCTATCTTCCTATTCCAAGTTCCTTTCTATTATTAAAATCTCATAGTATCTGTTGGAAATGTTTTTGCAAATGGTTATCAAATACAGAATATCCAAAACAGAAGTCATTTCAAACTTTTCTGATTTCCCCTTTCATTCAATTAATCAAAAAATATGAAGCATTAAGAACAATTATGAATAATTAGTAACTCATGGAACAGCAGTCAACTGATTAAAAAAAAAGCTAAACAACTAAAAATAATACAAGATAGTATGTGTTGCACTCACAGATGTATGTGTTAGGAATTGGAACTCAAACTAGAGTTGAGAAATTTCTTAACAGAGGTTGTAGAATTCCTAGTCACTCTAGTCATCGTGCTCTGCAAGCTGGTCTCACCATCAGTCTGCTGCTTCCCATTTCATCAACCCTGTTCCTGTCCTCTCCTCTCTTAATATTTCTTATCCTTTATTGTTCAGTTTAAGCCCCACCATTTGCAGTTTCTTCCCACCTCAGAACCATGAGGACATTGTCTTCATCATACAACTCAGAAATTCAACATTCAACATCTATCAAATGTTTGCAATGTATGTGTTTTATGTCCATGTATTTTATGTCCTTTCTTCCCAACTAGTTTACACATACAAACACTATTTTTTATTCTATTCCTTAAGATATACTTCAGAATATAGATTTTTCAAGGCATGTGCCATACTGACCAAGTTACCATCTCCAGGAGCAGGGCCCACTTCAGCATGGTGCTGGGGCAAGAATATGTTTCTAACAAAGTTCCTATATGATGATTAAGCAGTAAGCCCAGTCTTGACTCAGACTTTCTTGTAAACCACTACTGTACAACTTCTAGCACAATACTTTGCTTGTGATAAGATTCTTTTTTTGAGTTGGAGTCTCACTCTGTCGCCCAGACTGGAGTGCAGTGGCCGCTCCCGGCCACTGCAGCCTCGACCTGCTGGGCTCCGGCGATCCTTCCGCCTCAGCCTTCGAAGTAGCCGGAATTACAGGCATGCGCTACCACGCCCGGCTGATTTTTTGATTTATTGTAGAGATGAGGTCTCGCTGACCAGGCAGATCTCAAACCCGCGGGCTCAGGCAATCCACTCACCTCAGCCTCCCAAAGGCGCGGGATTACAGGCTGAGCCACCGAGCCCAGCTTGAGATAAGATTCTTAACAAAGTATGTCTTAGTGCATTAGTCAGTAGTCAACTTAGTGAAATGTTTAGTAAAAGAATCAGGTTGGCATTTGCATTTTACTTTTGTATTCTAAGACATCACCAGTAAATCCTTTTATTCTAGTTTTCAGATAAAAATCAGACTGACCATTCCCACAGACCAATACGACTTAAAGAACTGATAAAATCAGTAACAAAACTCACAGAAAGACTAATGAGAAAATCATTGTACTCGCTTATTATATTTCATTTTATTGGCAAGATGAGGGCCCTCAATGACTGAGAGCCATGAAACTAAGAAGGCAGAGAAATAACTATTGGGAAAGAAAGAAACTTAACAAGATTTTTGGGGAAAGAGCCAGTTACACTGGTTGAAATTAACCTCTGGCTCTCAAGAAAAGTTGCCCTATTCTGTTTAAGAGATTGATAAGTAATCCTGGTTCCAAATTCTAAATATATTTATTACAATCCAAACCTGTGTTTTCCTTATACTTGAATGAGCACAATGGCCTCTATCTTTTCATGTTGCATTTCACCCTGAAAATGAAGAATATATGCATCTCCACAATGTTCAGTAGTTCATTCTGCTCAGAAGCTTTTATTGTCTTCCCAGTGCCCCAAAGAGAGACTCTAAGTTAATGAACTTGATATCTGATGCTTTCTACAGTATGGTTCCATATAATTTTCTATAATTTTCTCATACGACCCTACTATATGTTTTGCTTTCCCACTGCTGTGTTCCTACCCTTAACTATCTCTGTTTGTAATTTCCTCCTCTTTCTCTACCACATCAAATCCTATCTGTTCTTCAGAATTTGTTTTTTCTTTTTCATTAAGCTTCTCTTGATCATTGCAATCAGCTGTATTTTTTCCATCTCCTATTTTATAAAGCACTTCTATCATTTTTCTCTTTTGCTTTGTATTTTGTGTGACTCATTTATAAAACTTAATCACATGGGGCTTGTTAATATTTAGTATTACTTCTAAGTTTAATGTTTCTAGTTTAAATGATTTTTATATTTAAATTTTAAGCTGTGTTGAAGTAGAAATCATATAATTGTTGTAGCCACAGAGCAAGTATGTCAGTAAATTTTTATGTAATGGAGAATGATAATTCCTGTGATGTGGTCACTTTGATCTTCCTAGACAGTAATAGTCATTTTTTATCCCTCAGGAGAGCTCTTGAAGCTAACGAAGACCCTTCCAAAAGCAGAGGTGGGTTTTCTGATAATATAATCTACGCAGAGATGGCTACAGACTCAAAGAAAACTGCAGCTCAGAATTTTTCAGAGGATGAAGGACTTGTGATAGTGAAGATAGAAGAAGAAGAGTTTATCTGGAGGCAGGACACTTGCTTACAGAGAAGTGATCCCCTCAGACAGGAGCTCTGCCGGCAACTTTTTAGGCAGTTCTGCTACCAGGATTCCCCTGGACCTCACGAGGCACTGTGCCGGCTCCGGGAGCTCTGCAGTCAGTGGCTGAAGCCAGAGATTCATACTAAGGAACAGATTCTGGAGCTGCTGGTGCTGGAGCAGTTCCTGACCATTCTACCAGGGGATCTGCAGGCCTGGGTGCGTGAACATTATCCAGAGAGTGGAGAGGAGGCAGTGACCATACTGGAAGATTTGGAGAGAGACACTGATGAAGCAGTACTCCAGGTGCACAGGGGATGGGAGATCTAAGACCTCCATAATGGATGTAGCCCCCACAATGGGAGGAAAGGGATGGAGTATCTAATGAGATGGAGTATCTAATGAGACTTGCAGGAGCTCTTGGTTCAGTGTGCATTTATATCTCCTTTCCTGTCTGTTTGGTACCACACTGCATTTTACAATTGATTCAGACTTGATTATTCTTTCTCCAGTTTTGTATTCCTATTTGCGGTTCTCCTTGTTAGAAAATTTTTAATTCCAATAGGAATTTTCTCATTAGCCCAAATGTGCTTTGTTTTTCTCAGGTTCCAGGCTATGGACATGGACAAGAAATATTCAGGGAAAATGTGTCACCTCCTGGACCAGCACTTAGTGTCCATTTCCAGCCAGTGGAGACCAAAGCCCATTATGGTTCTTCAGAACCCCAGGTCCTCCTGGACTGTGGTAAGGGGAAAAATGCTATGTGGTGCATATCACTAAAGAAGTGGGAAAGTAGGTCAGGCAGAGTGGCTCATACTTGTTATCCCAGCACTTTGGGAGGTAGAAATGGGAGGATCACTTGAGGCCAGGATTTCGAGACCAGTCTGGGCAACATAGCAATACCTTGTCTCTACAAAAAACTTTATAAAATTAGCCAAGCATGGTAGGGTGCACCTATAGTCCTAGTTACTTAGGAGACTGAGGCAAGAGGATCACTTGAATCCAAGAGTTTGAGGCTTCAGTGAGCTATGATTACACCACTATACTCCAGCTTGGGCAACAGAACAAGACCCTGTCTCTAAATAAATAAATAAGTAAATTAATAAACAAAATAGGAGATTGGGAGAATGAACTTTCCCCTTCAAATTAGTCTTGTTAACTGCAGGTGATTCTTCCCTTTATTACCCAAGGAAAAGTAGAGCACTTGCTTTCCTATAAGTCTTTAGCCAATTGGGGGATAAAAGATAGTTTTGTTCTTTATCAAGAATATTTCAGAAACACAGAATATTTTTAGGATATGATCAGATTAAAGGAAATGAAGTGAATGTTAATAAAATGCCATCAAAAGAGAAAAGAGGAAGAAACACATGAACAGATACAAAATATGTTAATAGAAAAGTATGTGTAATGATAGACAGGGAGACAGATACATGATCATATACTCAAAAATGAAATATAATTCACAGGTGCATAGAATATGATCCATATTGTTGCCTTTTATATTGTACTCTTGGTCTTAGAAAGTTCCTTTGTCTTTTTGTAGAAAGTTGGCCATACTTCTAGAGACTGCCTCCATAGAGTACTCATCTCTGTTCTAAAACTTACCTGTTTAAAAGGTTCATAGCTGCAATATTACTTTAGATGTCAGTGGTCCTAGTAATAATCCTAAGAATAATATTGTTAATTTTTAATAAATTACCACATATTCTTCCTTCAGGTTATTCTGGAAACATTTCCATCTACCACATATAAAATTATAAATTTTCCTCACATCAAGACCAGCACTTCCTAATCCCCTTTTCCTGCCCTAGCATACTCAAGACAAAGGAAACCCTGTAACAAACAGTGACTGCTTGACTACAGGACAGTAGAGTCATGAGCCCGGTATATAGTCATGAGCTAGAAGGTAGGATTTGTGAGGACTAGATCATAAAAGGGTCCTGGAAATCAGGCTAGGAAGTTTAAACTTGTAAAAGAAAAAGATTAAAGATTTCTGAGTAAGTATAAAAGGATGACAGTGTTTAATGACAATTAGTCTGGTAAGGATATTTAGGATAACTAGGCAGAATAAAAGTACAGAGTCCAAACAGCAAGAATGCAGCAACAGTCATTTAGTTAGAAAATGATGATTTTCCAGATTATGGTGATGGGAGCAGAAATGTAAAGGAAGATACTGGGCAGAGGGCACTTAGTGGAAAGTCATGACAGAACTTAGAAGATTGACTGACCATGAAATATGAAGAAGAAATACATGATGGATGGATGGAGGTTTTCTCACACATACCTCAAAGTCATGTATAGCTTTACTTTTCTCTCCTGTGTCCTCATCTGCTTTCTTTGAGGTGGTCCCTCCCCATTTCCCTCTTAGCCATTAGAAGTGTATCATACACCCAAGTTCCCAAGGTCCCCCTTAGTCACATTGTATAGTTCTTTCTCCTTACTTTATCTCCCCTCTCTCAATTCTCGCTGATGATAACGTTTCTTTCATTTGTGTCCTTATTCATCACTCTTCTCATGTAAAAGGCCACTTATTTAAAGTGGTCAAATGAAGCATTGATATATAACAATAGCATACCCCCAAATGTTCATTGCTTCTAGCACAGAAAACAAGTGATATTTACCTCTTTCTTTTTTCATTTTTTTAGTTAATGAAAGTGAAAACAATGGATCCATGCCAAAGCTGGAAATTTATGAAAAAGTGGAATCACCGAGAATTAAGTCTGGAAGAATCTCAGGATACATGTCAGAAGAATCTGAGGAACCTCAAGGCATCTGTAAGACTGCAGGCAGGGTAAAAAAGCCAGGGGAGTGTCAAAGACTCTCATCTGCCCGGGATGGAGGTTTTGGTAAAATCCTCACCCACAAAAATACACTCACAGGTGAAATAATAAGCCATGATGCATGTGAGAAGAGTTTAAATCTGAACTCAAATGAATTTACACACCAAAAATCCTGTAAAAACGGTACCTATGACCAGAGCTTCAAATGGAATTCAGATTTTATTAACCATCAAAAAATTTGTGCTAGAGAAAAAATTCACCAATATGGAAAATCTTTCAAGAGTACACAACTTGTTACACATGCAGCAATTTTCAGTGGAGAGAAAACTCATCGGTGTAATGAGTGTGGGAAAATTTTCAGGCATAGCTCAAAACTTGTTAGGCATCAGAGAATTCACACAGGAGAGAGACCCTATGAATGTAATGAGTGTGGGAAAGGCTTTGCAGGAAACTCAGATCTTATTAGACATCAGCGAATTCACACTGGGGAAAGACCCTTTGGATGCAAAGAATGTGGGAGAGCATTCAGTCTGAACTCACATCTTATTCTGCATCAGAGAATCCACACCAGAGAAAAACCCTATAAATGCAGTGAATGTGGGAAAACTTTCCGAGTGAGCTCACACCTTATTAGACACCTCAGAATTCATACTGGAGAGAAACCTTATGAATGCAGTGAGTGTGGGAGAGCCTTCAGTCAGAGATCACACCTTAGTCAACATCAGAGAATTCACATGAGGGAAAATCTATTAATGTAAAGAACTAAATTCATATGGAAATACTAAATAACCAAATGTGAAAAATATTAAATAAAAAAATAAATACTGGACAAGATGAAAGACTGAAAGACCGGTGTCTCTTTTTTCTTTCTCTCTCATTCTCAGGCTTGCATTTCTATGTATGATCTTCATCTCTGTGTGTATGCTATCTGTGAGAATGGGAATGTGCCTCTTCTCTCATTGACTGCTAAAGACAAGCCAAAAGACAGTATTTGGGGGAGGCTAATAAAGGTTAGTCTATGGCAGTGGGGTGTAGAGAAACAGGTACTGTTTGGGGGATTAATCATGATTAGTGTGGGATAGAAGAGAAAGGTTCCAGTAAAGAGACTGACCATCAGCCTTAGTAAATTCTTCTAGTTTGTTCTCCACAAAAAGAAGTAGGCTAAACCCAAGAGTAAAATAGCTTGCACATTACACTACAGAACAGTGTTTGCAGACCTTTTTTTTTTTTTTAAGAAACCACAAAACTAGGTGATATTAAGTTAAAGAATCATGTCAAACAAAAGGACATATGTTATGGCAGTATTCCAATATGAGACCAAAATCTGTGTTCAGAGGTCATGCCAGGAAGTAAAAAACCAGGAGAGCATCCATGGCAAGAGGCTAGAATCCAGAGATCAAGACAGGTGGAGGATACAAGTTAATTAAGCAGAAACTGGATTAGGAAAGGTGTTCAAATTGAACTAACCTTAAGAAGCTGGAAGACAGACACAGTAGTATAACTAGACTTTTATTGGTTTGGGGCACCTTTCTGGCATGTGTTGATAGGGACTATCATTTGGGGGGCTCTCTTGACAGTATTCTCTGGCTACTGGCAATTGTAGAAGAGCTTGGCTGAGGTGGTTAATACTGAAAATAAAGGTCCTGAAACTTTATTTCACAGCTACTAGCTGCTCTCTTCTCCAGAAAAGACTGCCAAGAGAGTGTTGGGAGTGATAGTATCCGAAAGGGTAAAGAGAGGGATGGTATCTGCAGCAAGTTGGAGCTCCACCAATGTTTTCAGAATAAAAAGGTAAATTCTGCTCTACCACTTTCACCTGTTTGATGAGGCATATTTTTTTCATTAATGTGAGAATTATATAAGGCTTAAATATTTCACAACATGTATTGTTTTTACATTATAAAATGTAACTAGGACATTGACATTAGAAGTATAATAATCTAATGTGAAATCTACAAAATCTTCCACTAAGAGACTTTATAAGAAATATCTTAGCATTTACTTTCGATGGACTTGAACTAAACATTTCCTGACAGGATCTAAGTATCATAACACAATATTTGGTTTGTTTTTAAAAGTAATGTCAACTCTAATTTTTTTACAGGCACTGTGCTAGTATGTCCTATCTCATGATTCCATAAATGCTGTCAGTTTTCCCATTTTATAGATGAGAAAACTGAGCTGTGATGAAGTATCTTGCTTAGGATCACCTACTCATAGATAGTAGTAAAACCAGGATTTAAACACACATTTCATTTCAGTGCCCTGGTTCTTAACCCTTAACCTTGATTATGTTACTGATAGTATAACCATGGGATATACCATCAGAAAAGATAATATTTGTACACTACAACCTTAATTTTAAAGTTGGGACAGGTTGTGGGAGAGGCATAGCACTCTTAGACCACTTACTGACCCACATTTCAAAATCATGGCAGGAGTCCTGACCTGCTAAGCCTGGAGTCAATTTGCTGTCCAACCCTGCTCTTAGAAACTTCTAAAGAAATTCAGAGAAAATTGCCTTCCTTTGAGAGGTAAACGACAAGATATCTGAAACTATTTCTGAGTATAAAAAGACTTGGGAGACTTTATTTTGTCTCCAACTGCTCCTCCTCCTTCTACCTTGGTGCCTTCATATTCTCTTATCTGAATTACCCTTTCCTGTCTTGCCTCTCCTTCCATCACCACTGCTTAAGGAAACTCTCTAGATCTTTTCTAAAAATGTAGACTGGAGAGGGATTCAGCAATATACTCAAAGACCAGATGAATCTGTGCTTGATTTTTCTGAATGGTTTGGAAAAAACCATTAAACAATATTCTGGAATGACTGACACTAGCCTCCAAGTTCACCAGAATGATTCCCTTATAAATTCTTTCCTGGATGGCTTAAATGAGGACATAGCTAACTTAGTTAAAAAGTACCAGCTTAATTGAGTGAATACATAAACCCATGATTTGTAAGCTTGGCAGATCAACTTTCTAAAAACTATTATGAAAAAGGAAAATAACTAAGTTCTCAAAGATCATAAATTTGCAACTGCAAGAACAACTAGTAGTCAAATTAGACCTTTTATGAAAAGACAAGTGCCACCTCCTGACGATAAAAGAAACTTTTTCTTTTATTGCAAAAAACCTGCCCATTTCAAAAGAGATTGCAGAAAATTTAAATGACAGGAGGAACAAAAGGACAGGATCCCAGAAAATAAACAGGGTCAGTCCTAATACCTTAGGAGAAATGGAAATGTTTAGATATAAAGAGCACACACATGTTTTCATAGACACTGGGGCTATTCTTTCTGTCCTTAAGCCTACTGTCTTAAACCATCTCTTTCCTCAGAGTAATGAATCTATATAAATTTGGTGGTATCTAATCAACCTATGACTGTATATAAGTCCAAAACCTTAGGATTCCAGGTAGGCTCATTCAGCGGCCTTCTTCTCTTTTTACTTCTTCCCTTGGCTCCCATGCATCTCTTAGGCAGAGTTTTGTTTCATGTTGTCTTGTTTTTGAATTTCAAAATGCAAACATTTCCTCCTCTCAAAAGAGATAAATGTATGTAAATTTGGAACAAAAGGAGTAAACAGAACAATTACAGAATGCGAATGAAACTCATGAGATTATAAAAATACAGATTCAGCAATTTTTTTCCAAACTGGGCTAATGAATGACACAGATGATTTATTGCAAACTTTGCCAAACCATTTATAGTCCCACACTTCCACTGACATTAGTAAAATAGATTCAGCCACACCTCATTAAAATGGAAGTAAACCTGATTAAACTTTTACCCAATATCAGATAATAGCCTTTAAATACCCTCCTGGACTTCACAACCCCTTGAAGATGTAAATCTTATCATGTTTTTGAAATGTTAACATTCAGGGAATTAGTTAAACAGCGTTCCAGCTGATATCAGATCTAAAACAGAGTTAAAAATTTTTTCGGCCACCACAAAATTCCTTTCCTCAGTAGGTACCTTTAGATCAGGAAATAAACATTTATAATAATTAATTTTAATTATTTGTCTTAAATTAATTGCATGACCCTTTACCTTTCAGTATACCCATTTGTAATCTTTTTTACTATAGGAAACAAAAATATTCCTCTCTATAATACTGGAGATTATTGAACTTAAAAAGGTGAAAATGCATGGGGACATTCTGTTTCCTTCCAAGCCTGATGACAGGACAGGAATTTCTGGAAACAAAGGTTTTCCTGCCTGCCTTTTACCACCTAAAGATAGCCACTTGAAGACTCTTGCTTATCAGCTCAGAGACAACCTCAGAGATTCTAGGAACAGACTTTACTCCCTCAAATTTACCTTCTCACACATGCCACTTTGACACCACCCTCATGCTAGCTTTTTTACCAAATGTCTCTTTCAATCATTCATCTGACCTTTATGGAGCTGAAAACCTGAGACCTTAGAAAAATATGACTGGATGGCACTATGGGTTGTATACCATTTGCAGTTTGCGAGACTTTACTTTCTTTTAGCTGTCTCAGAGGTGGTTCTGGAGCTTGTGAGGACTGCTTTGCACATCTTTGGAGATGTCTTGTGTACCCTTGGTTAAGTCACAACCTTAGTTAAAGCTTATTAGTTTGAGTGCGTCCGTTGAAACGGTACCTTTAGTTTAAAAGTAAAAAAGGTCAAAAGTCAGGAATATTGGCTGTTTGTCCCAACTGAAATCTGATATAGGATTTTAAAAGCATTTTTAAAAGTTTTATAGTCAGAAGTCAGCTTAATTAAAAGCTGATATTCAAGCTGGATAGATAGATATAGATTTTTTTTCAAGAACTTTCTTTTTTTCCTCTTGAATTCTGTTTTAGGGAAGATTTTTGTTTTTGTTTTCCATCAACTAAAACTCCTTTTCATTTATATACTTGGTCCATCAGTTTGATTCCTTTCTTGTTGGCTTGATTTTTGCTGAGAAAAATGTAAAGCTTCATTGGCATTTTGGAAAACTTAAATGCCAATGAAACTTTACAACTTAAAGCACTTGATATATGGGCTCCAGACTGCCAAGAAGCCATAAAATGTCATATGCTGGGCACCATAACTCATATTCTATCATTCAACAATGGAATAATAATGTATAGCCAATCAGTAACCAATGTTATCTCTGTACACCAATGGAAGTATCAATGAAAAAAACTTAGCATCAGCCCACTCCTTGTTCCCTTTGTTTTTAAAACACTGCTTGTAACAAAGGCTAATAAAGCACTTCCCAAGGCAACTTGGATGTGTGTCCTGGGCAACTGTCCTCACTTTGGCTCAAGTAAACTTTTTAAATTATAGTTTGTACTTCAGCTTCTTCTTAGGTTGATATTTCAAATATTCTGGTCTCCTACTGTCATGTTTTGAATTAGCATATTCTGGTCTTCTATAGGTTAAAAACAATCTCTTAATACTTTCTTCTATTCCTGGCACATACACTAGTGCTGAGCAGATTATAGCAACACTGAAGCTGTAAGGCAGTATTTAAATTCCATTGAATACATTTTAAAGAGTCATGCAACTGTTTCATTTTAAGATGTCAGTATATATAATATACCTAGAAGTTATGTCATATTAACTTGAGCACTGATGTTCTTTGGTTGTGTGTTGCTCAATCTGGTCACATTGTAAGGATTCCAGGACAGGCCTGCATAAGTTGATGAACATGCATAAGTTCATCCCACCCCTGAGCTGTGGAGACTTGGGCAAGTCACTTGCACTTTTTGCATGTTTCTGGGTTGTGAGTAATGCATCACTGCACAGCACTCATCAGTGTGAGTTACTCCTCCTTTCCCTTCCTCTTCTTCTGAGTCATTTATGATCAATCAAAACTGCATGACTACACTGA